CGGTGGCCCTAAGTAACGTTTTCTTGGCCCTCAGTAACAATTCTGTGTCCCTTCAGTAACAATTCTGTGTCTGTTCCCTATTCTGAGGTCTATTCTGTGGCCCTAAGTAACGTTCTGTGGCCCTCAGTAACAATTCTGTGTCCCTGGAGTAACGTTTCCTGTGGCCCTAAGTAACGTTTCGCGCTGTGGCCTTCAGTAAACAATTCTGTGTCCCTAGTAAACAATTCTGTGTTGTACCTGAGTAACATTCTGTGGCCCTAAGTAACGTTCTGTGGCCCTAAGTAACAAGTTCTGTGGCCCTCTAGTAACAATTCTGTGGCCCTCAGTAACAATTCTGTGCGCCCTCAGTAAACAATTCTGTGCTTCCCCTGATTACAATTCTGTGTCCCCTGGAGTAACAGTTTTCCTGTGGCCCTAATGTAACGGTTCTGTGTGGCCCTCCATAACAATTTCTGACCCAGTCCCTCCAGTCCCTGAACAATTCTGTAGGCCCCAATAACGTTTCTGTGGCCCTAAGTATACGTTTAAGTCTGTGGCCCTAAGTAACAATTCTGTGTCTGTCCCTGATAACAATTCTGTGTCTGTCCCCCCATCAAGTAACAAATTCTGTGTCCCAAAGTAACCAGTTTGTGGCCCTCCGTAACAATTCTGTGTCCTGAGTAACGTTTCTGTGGCCCCTAAGTAACAATTCTGTGGCCTCAGTAACAATTCTGTGTCTGTCCCCCTGAGTAACAATTCTTGTGGCCCACTAAGTAACGGTTCTGTGGCCCTCAGTAACAATTCTGTGTCCCTGAGTACCAATTCTGAGGCTTTCCTAAGTAACAGGGTTCTGTGGCCCTAAGTAACAATTCTATGTTGTTCCCTGAGATAACAATTTCTGTGTCTGTCCCTGAGTAACAATTCTGTGTCCCTAAGTAACTGGTTCTGTGGCCCGAACAGTAACAATTCTTGTGTCCTCTGAGTAACAATTCTGTGCCCTAAGTAACGTTCTGGTGGCCCTCAGTAACAATTCCCTGTGTCCCCTCAGTAACAATTCTGTGTCTTGATCCCTGAGTAAACAATTCTGTGGCCCTAAGTTAACGTTTTCTGTGGCCCCTAAGTAACAATTCTGTGGCCCCACAGAGTAACCAATTCTGTGTCCGTGAGTAACGTTTCTGTGTTCCTGTTCAGTAACAATTCTGTGGCCCTCAGTAACAATTCTGTGTCTGCTGTCCCGGCTCGAGTAACAATTCTGTGGCCCTAACTAACGTTTCTGTGGCCTAAGTAAACAGTTCTGTGGCCCTCAGTAACAATTCTGTGTCGCCTGAGTAACGTTTCTGTGGCCCTAAGTAACAATTCTGTGGCCCTCTGTAACAATTCTGTGTCATTTTACAGTTGTCTGTCATGAGTGAACAATTACTGTGGCCACTAACTAACGTTTCGTGAGGCCCTAAGTAACGAGTTACTGTGCGCCCTCAGTAAACAAATTCTGTGTCCCCCCCCCCCCCCCCACCCCCCCCCTCGCCCACCCGTAACGTTTACTGTGGCCCTCGGTTAACAATTCAGTGTGCCCTCAAGTAACAATTCTGTGTTCAGTTACTCTGAGTAACCAATTCAGTGGCACTGCTAACTAGCCGTTTCTCTGAGGCCTCTTAAGTCACGGATTCTGTGGCCCTGTCGCACATAACTTTTTCTGTGTCCCTGAGTAATGTTTCTCTGTCCCTAAGTAACGTTTCCTCTGTCCCTAAGTAACGTTTTCTCTGTCCCCAAGTAACGTTTCTGTGGCCCTAACTCTGTCCCTAATTACAGATGCGGTCTGGCCTCTCTTGAATGACTGGAGGGCAAATGAATGAAGATTCTAAAATGGCCGGCCATTTATTAGCTCGACCCATACACAGAGCTGGCTGGATTGGATGGCTGGCTGCTGATTGGCTAATGCGATCACATGTCATTAAGGCGATGCATTATGGGTCAGCGCGCCCTTTGTCTGCCGCTCCACATTCCCAGACATCCCCCCTCTCCGTCGCCGCACATGTCGCCGTCGCCATTTTTAGGAAAAATTTTGATTCGCGCATCCGAAGTATGCTATTTTTTCGGATTCCTGGCGGCGAATCGAAATATTTTGTTCCAATATTCGAAATTCGAACGAATTCCACTTCGCCTACTTCGATTCGCTCATCTCTAATATAAGTAATGGTTGATGGGGGAAGGAAATGGAAGCATCAAGTGTAATCAGACACATTTCTGATGTTGGAATTAGTGTTCTTGTTGATGAAGTAGCTACAGAGGGTTGGTAATCTCTCTCCTCATGTACAACTTTCCCTTTATATTTACCAAACACCATATAATATGAGATCAAAGCTAAACAACAACTTTAATTTGTATCCAATCAGGCAGGACCATTGCACTACATAGTTGAAGGAAAATCTAAAAAAACTGTACAAGAAAAATGGGTACAACAATGTAGGGCTAGCCTAAGCTTTATGGCAAAGCAAAGCGTGACCCACTGAAGACCTGTGGCTTATCATTGATGAAATAACTCAATTAAATTATCATGTTAATGTAAATGCTGTAAATTTGAAGGGAAAGCAAAAGCATTGTTAAGACTTTAGAGATACAGCTTTCATTAGTAACAGGAAGAGGAAGTAACTCAGTTTTTTGGAGGATTTTGTGGTCTGACCAAATGCCGGGATCAATATGGAAATCTGACAGGCTAGTAACTCAACAAGGAACTTAGAAGGGAATAATCAATCCTATGAGGAAGAATTAGGCACTGAAGAATGGAAAGTATAAGACTGAGCTTGCAAATGTACCTGCGCGTCCAGCAGTTATCTGAGTCCACCAATCTCAATTGTTGCCTTATTGAGGGGCCATGGGATCTGGTGAATAAATTTCTGGTGTTGAGAAGAGTCCAGTCCAGGTTTGGGTGCATTAAAAAAATAAAAATCCCCTGACCGCGCCACTAAAAGTTTTTGATTCTGTTACTTCTCTAGTTGAGAAAGAACATTAGTTAAAAACAACTTAGTATTAGGCAAGTATTAATTTATCCTATACAAACTGGAAGATCCCAGAGGGCCTTCAAGAAGTAAAAATTGTACTATCGGAGTCCCTCACCACCTCTGTAATTTATATGATTAGAGTATTCCTAGGGTGAGTAGATGAGTTGAGGAGCATTTTGATCTGAACCCAAGTTCACACCAAACTTCGGCTCTTTGGAGATTTGGTGGGAACTGATCTGCTGAACATACCATAGTTCATTGCAAACAACTATCATTGGCCTGCCATTGACCTGGTCAGGTGGAAGACTTTGGCTAATGATGGTTTTGTTCTAAAATTGCAGCCTACAAACTATACAAGGCTGCAAAAACCCAGCAGCCCTTTGTCAGTGTGTGGGAGTTTAGTGTGAGGGACAGCTGACAGTATTGCAGTGAGAGGGAGTTGGCTGTGCACTTTGGAGAATGGAGTAGAAACCCACCTCTTCGTGTCAGCAACACATTCTATTGCTGTGGTGCTGCTGTTCACCCTTTTTTATTTTCTTTGGGAGTGCTTGTTTTTATTCCCTTTATTTGTATTTTACATTTCCTTTTTTTTCTGCATTAAAAAAAAAGAGTTTAGTGCTTGTAGTGTTTTAAGGGCTGCAGTTTTTTTTTTCTTTTACTTTAGTTTACTTTTTACATCTTTTGTCTTACAGCTCTATTATATTTATGTTTAATTTTGCTAGGGTCTTTTATGGGAGCAGCAAAGCTTCCTGTTGTATCCAGCGGAGCACCACATTATTGTTATGGTGGTGCAGAGAATGCAGATTTAGTCCTCAAATGTACCAGCTTCCAGTGCACTTAATCACTCACATCCTCACATGCTGTAGATCTCTTGCCATAGCTGCTAATTAAAGAAGGGAATAAGCCCCGATGTTTACAAAATCATGGGTTGGGTGCCCATAGGGTGAGGCAGATGTATCTTCCATGTACAAACTATAAAATCAGACAATTTAACAACTTCTGAGTTGCCCTATAGCAGAAATACTGCTACAGGGCGGCATGGGTGTGCAAAATCATGTGATTTTGCAGTTCCAAATAGGGGGCACATGGTGCCATTCACGGCCTTGTCTGTCAATCACTGGGTGCAGGCAAGTGATTCCTCACCGGCACTCGTTGATCACCGAGTATCACCAATGGGGGAAGAGTGACCTGTGTATAAACAACAGCGTTAATTTCTTCCCTGCTAGCTCCTGTACACTGCTTTGTATGGCTGTGCATAGCACAGCCATACAAAGCAGTGTGCTTACAGTGTAAAGCATGCACACAGCACGCAGTAAAACACACACAGCACTCAGTTAACCCTTTGATCACCTCAGATGTTAACCCCTTCCTGCCCAGTGCCATTAGTACAGTGTCACTGTATTGGTGTCATTAGGGATGTCAATGACAACAAGTCAGTTCCCCCCAGTGTCAAAATGTCCCCCCCGCAGTCCTGCTATAACTAGTAGGAAAAAAATATTCCATATATATACTGCCATTTGTAAACTCTATAAAAGCAATTAATTTACAGGTATTGGATTTGTTTTAGCAAAGACATGTAGCAGAATACATTTTGGTCCAAATTTATGACGAAATGTGATTTTTAAAAATTTTCTTATTGACATGTTTTAATAACAAAAAGTAAAAAATATAGTTTTAAGCCACACCCAATATTTCATGTAATTTAACCACACCCACTTTTTTGTCATGCCGCAGGTTCAACTTCTTCTAAAGTGTGCCTCATTATCAAGTTGTAAAGTTGGAAGGTATGGGAAAGGAATGCTGTCTGCTCATCACAGCCCAGTGGGCCACTTGGGATCACTGCAATGGGTCACAACGATCACAAGCAAACACTAGTCATTTCCCCTACAGAGCTTGGGAATTTATAACATGCCAACATGTCCAGTAGCAGTAAAAACACATCCAGATTCATACCACCACTCAAGACTTGCTCCCCTTACCATGCATGGACAATCTGGGTGCAGGCTCCCATAGTCCTTCTCCTCTCTCTACATCAAAGGATGAAAGATAACAGCTGCACACCCACCCTAATAGCATCGTAGCTCTCCAATCTTAGTTTTAGCAAAGTGACTGCATACATTATGTCTCCACCCGAAAAACAACCTTTCTTAACCTCTTCACGCCGGCTGCACAGCAAATGTGCGGCCTCCCGCCATCTGGGCCTTGACGCCGAGCGCGGCACATTTGCATGCAATATAACCAAAACATATGTGCTGAGAGCGCGCGCCCTGAGCACTCCAGTAGCACGCATGTCCGGTACTTCACGGAAACGGTTCTGATCTCTTCTTTTCGATCGGGACCTTTCCTGATCATGTGACTGCCGTGATGGCGAATCACAGTGGTCGCATGACCTTAAAACCCCGCCTCCCAGCTTCAGAAACCCTTAAAGGGCCGGCAGGCGCCAGCACCAAGGTTTTAAACCACTTGCCCTCCTGAGGATTTACCCCCCTTCCTGACCAGGCCATTTTTTGCTTTATGGTGCTGGTTATTTTTAACTGACAATTGCGCGGTCATGCAACTCTGCACACAAATGAAATTTACATCCTTTTCTCCCCTAAATAGAAGCTTTCTTTCAGTGGTATTTGATTGCCTCTGCGTTTTTATTTTTTGTGCTATAAACAAGTTAACACTGACAATTTTGAGAAAAAAAACAATTTATTTGACTTTTTGCTATTAACATGTCCAATAAAAAAATTTTTATAAATCTAATTTTGTCATAATTGTTGGCCAAAATGTATTCTGCTACATAATCTTTGCTGAAAAAAATCCCTATACGTGTAAATTAATTTTACATGATAGGTTATTAGCATTTACAAATGGCAGTATTACTGGAATTTTTGTAATTTTAGTTTTTTTATCTATAATGATGGTGCGGACGATCAGCGACTTTTAGCGGACTTCCTCATAAGGGGGCATCCCTCCCTAAACTGACTTGGTGACACCTTTCACCCCAGTGAACACCAACATAATCCCTTGGCTAATTAAAAGCAACCCCCTCCGACACTATTTGGCAGCCAATAACATCAAATTCTTGCTGAGTGCTTACCATTTTAAAATGTATGTACACTGTTCTTATGTAACACACTCTCTTTTGTCATGGTTCACCCCCCTGCTATGCAACCATAATCTATTGAGTGCGTGCAAGAAATTTGGTCTATCTCCCATGATACGAAGTAAATTAATTGGTTTACGTGAAGGTTACTACGCACTGATACAGCATGTTAAGCATACAAATGGCGGTATACTATACTGGAATTATTTAGTAATTTTAGTTTTTTTATTAGTAAATGGGCGGCGAACAGCGACTGATATAGCGGGACTGCAGATAGTCTGTAGCGTCGGGGGCATATTGACACTGGGGGAAACTGACTTGGTGTCACTGACATCCCCAGTGTGACACCAACACAGTAATCAGTGCTAATAAAAAGCACTGACACTGTACTAATAGCACTTGGCAGGAAGGGGTTTTAACATCTGGGGAGATCAAAAGGGTTAACTGTGTGCTGTGTGCTGTTTTACTGTGTTTGTATGTGTGTGCTTTACACTGTAAGCACACTGCTTTGTATGACTGTGCTATGCAGAGCCATATAAAACAGTGTGCAAGAGCTGAATGGGGAGAGATCTGTGTTGTTGTATACACTGGTTTTCTCCCCCCGTTGCTGATACTCGATGATCGCCAGGTGCATGCAGGGAATCACCAGCCGGGACCACCCAGCCGGGACCAGCCGGGTTAATATTGGTTGCCCAAGAGCAGGATGGGAGGTTTTGAAAGTTGTGGTGCCATCTGTAGCAATCATGCACACAAAGCTGGACACGTCCCTCCATTTTGGTAAGAATTCTCCATGTTGTCCCCTATTCATTCCCCCTCCCACTCTGTTCATCCACAGTGCCATGTGCCTGTGTGTTGGCCGAGGTCACAAGCAGCCAAAGCACAGCTGGGCGCTCCGAGCTATAAAACCTCTCGAGCTAGGTGCCGGTGCCGCCGCGATAGAAACTGAAACAGGTGCAATCTGGCACATCGTAAAAGTATAACCTAAGCCTTTCCGAGTTCAAAGACATTCCAGAGGAGTAATAAACTAGATACCACATTCAAAAATCAATTTTCCCCCTATGTCTCATATCTTGGAATATGAGGGGACTTACACAAAAAACAGGCATATCTTCAGATTGGTCACGTTGAGACAAATCGTTTGGTATCTTACCTTCCCTAGCTGAGATCAACAGGAGAGCAGAAAATAAAATCTCCTTAATCATCCCAGCAGGTATGTTATATTTAATATGTAAGATCTTCAGCAGCCGGTTCTGCATGCTAATCTACCCGTGGGTGGAATGTCAAATGTACCTAGGAAAAGTTATGAGTCAAAATAGCAGCTAGGAGAGCTTCTAGTCATAACTTCGGGCTCCACCTACACCTCCCTCCCCAAATAAGGCAATTGTTTTTTTGTTGTAAGGAGACACCCCCGCTGACATTGTAGAAAAAGGGCTGTTATGCTTAGAGTTGTGTGAGAGAGAAAGCAGAGTCTCCCTGTAACACATCGAAACTGAGTGGAAGACCAGAAATCCTTTTTGAGCTCATAAGACCTGAAACTGCTTAACCCAAGGCTGATTTGGCAAGTACTTTAATCCTTTAACCTCCTTTCTGTTACCTCTTTGCTGTGCTATTGTTCTCTGTATATTTATATATATATTGGCTACATCTTTTTTCTGTAAATATTTTTATTGCACCCTTTTGACCTTTTAGTAATAAATCTTACTTTCTGAAAGTGTTGAACTGTTTCTAAAGCTCCTTAATGCAACTTACGAATTCATGCCGCTGAAGAACGCTACAGTGTGTGTTTAAACCCTCTGTATAACCTGTCTGCCGGTGACAGTGGTATACAGACGATTATCTAACCATCATCATAGTGTTATTGCTGATATTGCCGAGTTTCCTCTTTCTCTGTACAAAAAGGAGGTGGTGGCAGTGTGAAGAGTTAATTGCGTAATTAACCTGACCCAGTAACAATCGCGCTCAGGCTGCCGGTACATCGATTTGTGGTCCAGTGAGCTGGAAAATCGTTGTTGCAGGGTGCAGCTGGGCATGGCATTGTTACGCACGTGACATCGTGGTTTTAGGTTGACTAGTCCTTCGGGTCACGAGTTTGGTGAGAAGGGCGGGGGTCTGACGTCGCAATCGTCACACCATCCTGTCCTCCGTTACATAACCCCATTGTTGTTGCCAGGAATCCTGATTGGATATTTATTCCTTGATTTCCAGGTGGTGATTATTGTTGTCAATTATACTGGGGTAGAGATGTTAAAATGGCATTATATGGCCATACCTCTTTTGCACCATTGTAAGTATGCTTGCTTATGTATATAAAAAAACTGAATTGTAATGTGTTTCATATTAGATGTTCAATTGCCCCCCTGCCCTGATCAACACAAACTAACATATTTGAAGCAAATCTTTATTTTTTAAGTATATCCTTGTCATAACTGGATCTGTGTGTTCTCTTCTTTGCTATGCAGTAAGATTGGGACGGGGACAATGTATATAAAGAGATGGGGAGCAGTGTGTACAGGGAGGGGGACAATGTGTACAGGGAGGGGGGCAGTGTGCACAGGGAGGGGACAATTTATACAGAGATGGGGGGTAGTGTGTACAGGGTGGGGGGGTAGTGTGTGTACAGGGAGGGGACAGTGTATACAGTGTGTGAATTAAATTTGAGATAAGTCCCCAGTTGTGTTTATTTTTTTGTTTCTAATCAGACTATTAACCACTTCTGCGTTGCCCTATAGCAGAAATACGGCTACAGCAGGGCGGCATGGGTGTGCAAGATTGATGATTTTGCAGTTCCAAATAGGGGGCGCACGCTGCCATTCACGGCCTTGTCTGTCAATCACCGGGTGCCGGCCAGTGATTACTCACCGGCACCCGTTGATCGCCGAGTATCACCAATGGGGGAGAGACCTGTGTATAAACAACACAAATATCTTCCCTGTCAGCTCCTGCACACGGCTTTGTATGGCTCTGGCATAGCACAGCCATAGATCTCTTAGCCGTGTGCTTATCAGTGTAAAGCATGCACACAGCATACAGTAAAACACACACAGCACACAATTAACCCCTTTGATCGTCGTCCAGATGTTAACCCTGCTGCCCAGTGCCATTAGTACAGTGTCAATGCTGTTTATTAGCACTGATCACTGTATTGGTGTCACTGGGGGATGTCAGTGATAACCACGTCAGTTCCCCCCCCAGTGTCAGAATGCCCCGCACCGCTTGTCCCACTATAACTAGTAGGGAAAAAAAAATTCCAGTATAATATACCGCCATTTGTAAACGCTATATATAAAGAAATTAATTTACAATGTATTTTTAAATTTTTTTTTTTGGACATGTTTTAATAACAAAAAGTAAAAAAATATAGTTTAAGCCACACCTAATATTTCATGTAATTTACCCACACCCACTTTTTGTCATGTCGCAGGTCAACCTCTTCTAAAGTGTCCCTCATTCTCAAGATGTAAAGTTGGAAGGTATGGGAAAGGAGAGCTGTCTGCTCATCACAGCCAGTGGACCACTTGGGATCACTGCAATGGGTCACAACGATCACAAGGTATAAAGCCATTCTCATTTGCTCTGTGCTTTCTGCCTGTGATGAACACTTGCCATTGACAAGTGTGATCACAGGCATTGTTTACAGTTGTGATCACTGCGATTGATCATAGCAACCACCACTTGGGACAAGACATTTTCAATGATTCTGTAGCTTTTTTCTGTGATTTGCACTCTCTCCAATGGACTGTGCTCACAAGACTAAGAGGCAAATGAGCACAAAGAAACGACATGTAAAGATAAGCCACTTGCCTTACAATGGTTGGTGCTGAAGAGGTTAAGATATGATCATGAAATTCTGACATCCAGCACCATAGCACTACAAGGTGTTTCCATCACATTCCAACATACAGTATGTGTAACACAAAGGTCAGCTTTAGAATAGCTTCAAGGAATAGTATACAAGAGTGAATTCTTTCACTTTCACATTGGTCTTACAGGGATAAGTTACCTGCACTTGCAAGCAGTCCAGATTCATACCACCGCTATAAGACTTGCTCCCCTTACCATGCATGGACAATCTGGGTGCAGGCTCCCATAGTCCTTCTCCTCTCTACATCAAAGGATAAAAGATAATAGCTGCACCCCAATCTTAGCCTCTCCAATCTTAGTTCAGCAAAGTGACTGCATACATCATGTCTCCACCCGAAAAAATACAACCTTTCTTAACCTCTTCACACCGGCCGCACGCAAATGTGCCAGCCTCCCGCGATGTCTGGGCCTTGACGCTGAGCGGCCCGCACATTTGGCGTGCAATTACCAAAAACATATGTGCTGAGAGCGCGCCCTGCGCACTCCCCAGCACGCATGTCCCATACTCACGGAAAGGTCTCAATCTCCTCTTTTGATCGGGACCTTTCCTGATCATGTGATCGCCGTGACGGCAAATCACAGCGGTCACATGACCTTATTATTAAAACCCCCCTGGCCCCCCCCCCCCGGCTTCTGAAACCCTTAAAGGGTCGGGACGGTGCCGGCGCAAAGAAGTTAAACCACTTGCCCTCCTGAGGATTTACCCTCCTTTCCTTACCAGGCCCATTTTTGGCATTACAGCGCTGGGTTATTTTTAACTGACAATTGCGCGCTCATGCAACTCTGCATACAAATTAAATTTTACATTCCTTTTTTTCCCACAAATAGAGCTTTCTTTCGGTTGTAATTTTGATTGCCACCTGCTGTGCGTTTTTATTTTTTGCGCTATAAACAAGAAAACACTGACAAGTTGAGAAAAAAACAATTTATTTTTTGGACTTTTTGCTATTAAACAATGTCCAATAAAAAATTTTTAAAAATCTAATTTCGTCATAAATTTAGGCCGAAAATGTATTCTTCTACATGTCTTTGCTGAAAAAATCCCTATACGTGTAAATTAATTGGTTTACGTGAAGGTTATAACATTTACAAATGGTGGTATATTATACTGGAATTTTTTTAATTTTAGTTTGTTACTAGTAATGGCGCGGCAATCAGCGACTTATAGCGGGACAGCGGAAATCTGCGGTCTGGGGGCATTTTGACACTGGGGGCACTGACTTGGTGTCACTGACATCCCCAGTGACACCAACACAGTAATCAGTGCTAATAAAAAATCGCACTGACACTGTACTAATAGCACTTGGCAGGAATGGTTTTGTTTAACATCCGGGGAGTATCAAAAGGGTTAACTGTGTGCTGTTTTTACTGAGTTGTATGTGTGTGCTTTACACTGTAAGCACACTGCTTTGTATGGTTGTGCTATGCAGAGCCATATAAAAACAGTGTGCAAGTAGCTGAATGGGGAGAGATCTGTGTTGTTTATACACTGGTTTCTCCCCCGTTGGTGATACTCGACGATCGCCAGGTGCAGGCAGGGAATCACCAGCCGGGACCCGTATGTGATTGGCAGCCGATGACCACGAATGGCGGCGCGGGTAGGGCCTGGCCGCGCGTGGCTGGAATGCGACCCCTACCCCGATATGTGCAAAATCACGTGTGTGTATATATACACATGATTTTGCGCACCCCTGCTGCCCTGTAGCAGTAGTATTTCTGCCTATCAGGGTGGGGGGGGTGGGGGTTAATGTTTTTCACAGATCCCAGCTTGCTCACAAGGATAAATGCAGCCAAGAAGAGCTACAATTGGAGTATACAGTTGTTATCTTTCTATTCAGTATGCAGTAGTAGTCACATTCATCTAGACTTGTTCTGGAATTTTAAAGACATTTCCCAAACTTACTAAGCCACTTTTTCAGTTCATATGAGTGTCAGGAAGATACTTCATTATTTACATTCACACCTAAGAACGCCTAAATCCAATCACATGCAGCATGTTAATATTGGTTTGCCCAAGAGCAGGATGGGAGGTTTGTGAAAGTTGTGGTGCCATCTGTAGCAATCATGCACACAAAAGCTGGACGCCGTCCCTCCATTTTGGGTAAGAATTCTCCATGTTGTCCCATCATTCCCCCTCCCACTCTGTTCATCCACAGTGCCATGTGGCCTGTGTGTTGGCCCGAGTCACAAGCAGCCAAAGCACAGCTGGGCGCTCCGAGCTATAAAACCTCTCGAGCTAGGTGCCCGCGCTGTCTAAGAAACTGTGCAATCTGGCACATCGTAAAAGTATATATAACCCAAGCCTTTCCATGAGTTCAAAGACATTCCAGAGGAGTAATAAACTTAGATACCACATTCAAAAATCAATTTTTCCCCTATGTCTCATATCTTGGAATATGAGGGACTTACACAAAAACAGGCATATCTTCAGATTGGTCACGTTGAGACAAATCGTTTGGTATCTTACCTTCCCTACCTGAGATCAACAGGAGAGCAGAAAATAAAATCTCCTTAATCATCCCAGCAGGTATGTTATATTTAATATGTAGATCTTCAGCAGACGGTTCTGCATACAAATAATCTACCCGTGGATGGAAATGTCAAATGTACCTAGGAAAAAAGTTATGAGCCAAAATAAGCAGCTAGGAGAGCTTCTAGTCATAACTTCGCGGGCTCCACCTACACCTCCCTCCCCAAATAAGGCAATTGTTTTTTTTGTTGTAAGGAGTATGCTGTTACACAGTTAATATTTCTGTTAATGTACATGAGAATTCATATAGTTTATTTTTTGTACCATTTCCTATGGACATTTCTATAGTTATTTATGCTGCCATCCAGTGGCCTTATTTGGTAATGCATTTGTTTTATATTACCTCCCTGAGATCTATGACACAATTCCTTTGTATATGAAGCTCCTCCCTTCTTCTTGAGTTCAGCACTTCCTGTGTCATGGAGGCAGCTTAACAGTCCACATGTAACAGGGACACATGTATTCTGCATAGTACGCTACAGAAAGTATCATCTTTTGACCGCATAATACTGGAAACCATTCATTCTGCTGTATCCTGTTTCACATGTACAGAATAAAGCAACTTCTGGATGAACACAGTATTGGTGAGTTCAGCTATCTGATAAGGATTGTCCACAGTGAATATATCTGCTTATACAGGACTAGGCAGAGAGGCCTCACAAGGGATAAATCGCTTTCACAACAATCTGAGTCAGAATAGTCAAAAGATGCATAGAATCCCTACAGCCTGCTGTGTATATGTGTGTGCCTAATCTGCAATCAAGCTCAGTGCCATCCCGCCATCTTGCAAAAATCACATGGCCGCACAAGCTTACTGCACTTCATGTGAATGTTGAAAACTGTTTCTCTGCATTGAACTGTGTTACCCCACCTGTCTAAGCTGCTGTTCGTCTTCTTAAAGAGAACTTCAGTACCAATTTTTGCAGAACAGTAAAAAATGTCTAGACAAGGCTCTGAACACTCCTTTATGGCCGAACCAACGCAGATACATCATTCCTCTGAACCAGCAGACGTACAGGGAGCAGATTCTGCAGACATTCCCGAACAGAGCGTAAAAAAACCAAACTACAATAAAACCGACACAGAAAAAAAAACTCAGGGAAAACTATGAAGCCACTAGAGATGAGTTCTCCAGTAATCTGTCAGCACCTCTGGACCGAACTTCACATGCATGTCAGTTTTGTCACACTTTAATGATCAACCAGCTGAATTAAGAAACTCTATAAATCGCCTATCTGCTGCGTATGAACGCTACCAGCGGCTGTCTGTAAAATACTCTGCTTTCTTGCAGGACTCTAATATAGAGGATTCTTCAGCAGAACTGACCAGGACTGATGCACTAAACCAACAAAGGGATCTTGCAGTGCAAAATGCTGCTAAGTTTAAAGCAGAACTCCGCATTACTCAACTGCAGGAGACCAGATTCTCACAGATTCCACCTCAACCAAGCCCACACTGCGCTTCTAGATTCTCCGGTCGCTCCAGAAGTTTTGACGTTACCGCTAATAGATAGAGGCCCGCGCTGATGCATGAATCAAAAAAGGCGCAAAGCTTTTTTTTACCAGAAAGGAAGCAGAGGTAGAAGCACGCAAGATAGCTCAAACAAGCAGAGATGGAAGCTAAAAGCAAAGCTCAACAAGCAGAGGCAGATTCCCAAATAAAGATTCTGCCGATGGAAGGGGAGGAAGCAGCTTCCCTAGCAAGGCTGAAAGTCCTTGAACAAGCAATGGGGTCGACAAAGTACTAATTCAGACTGCCTTATCCCTGCAGAACTGGAAGATCCAGTTGAACGCACCAGTGAAATACGTATTAAAAGCATAACATTGCGAAGATACAGAGTCATCTCCTGTACTCCTCTACTAACAACACTGTTCTGACTCTCAACACAGAGACCTCTCAGCTCCATATGCCTAAGCCTCTTCAAATCTACAACACAAGTACATCTATGCAGCAAACCACATCAACTCCTGCCAACAACAAGGTGACTTCCAGTGACAAGTCGCAGCTCAAGCCACAGCCAGCACAAGCCTTTAGAGTCTACACCACAGTTAAACGCTCATGCAACATCATTTTACCCTGGTAAATCTCACCCTACATCACCAGAGAACTTTCACACCCAAGGGGTTTCACAAGTTACTTTGGCACCAAAGAGTGAGAGATCAGACTTGAATGACTTTGCCAGATATATGATTCGCCGTGAGCTCATCTAACACCAGCCTCTCAAGGTTTGACGACTGTCCAGAGAGCTACAGGGCCTGGAGATCAACCTTCAAGGCTTCTATTGCTGATCTCAACCTTACTACTAAAGGAAGAACTTGATTTGCTCATAAAGTGGCTGGGACCAGAATCTGCAGATCGTGTTAAAAGACTGTGAACAGTACATGTTGACCACCCAGACGCAGGTCTTGTTGCTGCATGGGCAAGACCTGAGCAAGCCTATGGTAGCTCTGAAGCCAGTAGAGAGCGCTCTATTCAAGAGATTTTTCAAAACTTCCCAAAAATAGGAAACAAAGACTATCGCAGGCTCTAAGATCTAAGTGACCTCCTCATGGAGCTAGAGTTGGCAAAGACAGACCCACGTCTATCTGGAATAAGCTTCAAACTGGACACCGCTCATGGTGTCAACCCAGTGGTGGTCTAAAAATTTGCCATACGGCCTGCAAGAGAAATGGGCACAACAGGGCTCAAGGTACAAAAGAGACTATAACGTATCCTTTCCTCCATTCTCATACTTTTGCAGGTTCATTAGTGATCAAGCCTGGATGAGAAAACGATCCCAGCTTCAGCTTCAGTGAACCAAACTTGCCTGCTTCATCCTCATCATCATCAAGGTATGATAACACAGCAGCTAAACGTAGAGACTGTACTAGAGCAATATCTGTTAAAAGGACAGACATCTCACCCTCCACAACCTCACCTACTGACCAAGGCATTGTGGATGCCAGAGAAAAAGACCCTAATCGTCAGTGTCCTATTCACAAGAAGCCTCACCCTCTTAAGAAATGTCGTGGGCTTAGGGCAAAGACTTTACAAGAGTGCAGGGAGATTCTCCAGAAACTTGGTAATATGCTACAAGTGCTGTGTGCTTCTTATAACCACTTTGCTAAAGACTGTAAAGTTATCAAATGTGCACAGAATGCGGTAGCGACAGAACTTGTTACAGCCATGCATCCTACTCCCACTTCCAGACAACCCGCAGCAGCTACCTACCTCAACCCCTGTGTCTCAAATTATGGCGGGGAGCAACAAAGTCATGCTCTAGCCAAAAGTAATGTTTCTTCTTCATGCACATCTGTGGAGAGGGACTGGATCACAAATGCTGTGCCAAGATATGCCTAGTCAAGATATACCCAAAGGATCATCCTGAGGAAGCTGCTAGGATGTATGCCATAATAGATGAAACAGAGCAACAGATCCCTGGTTAAGCCTAAATTCTTTGAGATCTTTGGCTTAGAAGGTCACGCCACACCGTATACTCTCAGAACCTGTTCTGGTCGTGTAGAGACCTTTGGCAGAAGGTCGATGGATTCATGGTCTCTCATATTAAGGAGGGAGAAGGCATACCCCTCCCAACATTAGTTGAGTGTGATCAGATACCAGACGAAAGAGGAGAGATTCCTACTCCAGAAGCTGCATATCATCATCCTCACTTAAAGGCACCTTGCTGATGAGATTCCTGCGATGGACAAGAGTGCTGAAATCTTGGTCCTGCTAGGAAGAGACATTCTCAGAGTACATAAAGTACGCGACCAATTCGATGGACCTGACAATGCCCCTTATGCACAAAGACTTGACCTAGCTGGATAATAGTGGGCGATGTATGCCTGGACAGAACGTTATCTGAGATCCACTCCTTCAAAACTTACATGTTGGGAAATGGATGTGCATCCCACTTCAAACAGTGCCCTCACCATTATGAAGTAAAGGAGAAGCCTCTTGACATCATCCAAAGTACCTGATGTTACTCCTGTTCTTTGTGATGACAACCTAGGTACCACAGTGTTTTGTACTACAAGTGATGACAACAAAATAGCCTTGTCAGTCGAAGATAGAGAGTTCATCAAA